CAGTCTATGACCTCATGTAACACTGARTGAAACCTGAATCTCTATGGCGATTAGAGCATTTGTTCAAAGCCCTACGAATGAATTATGGTAAGTGCTCTGCTTTGAGTCCTAAGAGGGCAGAACAAATCTACCTGAAAAGCAATCTGTTACCCTTGCAGCAGCTGCCCAGCCCTTTAGGGCACACCTTATGGCACTGTGCCTGCCAGGTGAGCAGGTACCATGTGCTGACGCCCAAGTGGCTCCAGGAATGAGGATGAGCACTGCACTTTGCCTTCAGCCTCATCTGTCACTCACCTGTCACTGCTGTTGCAACCACATTATGGGTCCAACCCAGGGATCCCTGATATCAGATCCTGGGTCGGGGGATTCCCTTGTGAAATTAAGAAAACAAAAACAAAAACAAAAAACACAAGATGAAAATGATAGCTCAACAATGGTGTTTGCCTGAGTGAATTTCAGTTCCACCAGAATAAGGTCCTGCTTAACAGTCTCACTTCCACCCTCTGTTCATTTCCTCCATAGAGAAGTGCTCATAAGAAGAGTGTATTTTATTCTGTCTCCTCCCCGGACTGTGAGCTCCAAGAACACGGGATTTTGGCTGCCTTGCTCACACTGGATCAGCACCAAAAACTGCCTGCACATAGCAGGCACTCAATAAAAGCTTGTTCATTCATTCAACAAACGCCTATTAGTGCCAACAAATGCCAAGGGCTGTGCTAAGGCTTGGGGAATGAGAACAAGTCAGGCAAGGTCCTCACCCTCCGAGGCTGGCAGTCCATGGTGGAGACAAACAATAAACAAATAAGTGGACGCACAAACAAGTGTTTCTTATTACTGGTCGCAGAGACGGTGTCCAGATGCTGACTGGGTCCAAGTCCTCAAACAGCCACGGTGTGTGCATTCCCACACCAGGCAACCAAGGAGGCGAAACCCTCTCCTCCAGGAACAGGTACCCTGGAGGGTTGGCGCCCTTCCTGTTCCCCGCACTGAACATCCCTTTCCCCAGCTCCTTCCGTTCGGGTTCAATCCAAAGGCYACCCCCTCAGAAAGGCCTTCCTTGCCCATCCCTTCAAAATCGCCTCCCACCGAGTCTCACTGCACCGTCCCTCACTCTGCTGCAGAAGGTGTTCTGACTTCGTGTCCCCCAACCCGTAAGTTCCCAAAGGGCTCCCCGAGCGTCGGCCAGACTGCTCCGCCCCGCCGGGGCACCGGGCAGCGAGTCCCCAGGCGCGGAGGGCTGCGGGAGACCTCAACTGGCCACGCAGAGCCGCCGCGCGGAGCTCCGGCGGCCGGTGGGCCTGGGCGGCCCGGCGCGGGGCTGCGGGCGGAAGCCGGGCGGCGACACTCACGTCTCGGAACTGGACCAGGCCCTTCTCACCCAGCGCGCTGAGGCACTCGTAGGCCGTGCCCGACTGCAGGAAGAGCTGCGCCAGGCACATGGGCTCGCTCCGGAACAGAGACCCCATGGCGGGCGGCCCGCGCCCGGAGGGGCCCGGCGGGGCCCGGCGGAGGCGGCGGCTCCGGCCCCGCGGGCGCGCACGATCAGCCGGGGCAGCCCGGGCCTCCAGCTTCTCTTGCGGCCTGGCCGCGGCCCGGCACCATGGGCTCAGTTGCAGCGGCCGCCCGCGTCCTGCCACCGCGGCCGCCGCTCCAGCTGCCGCCGGCGCGCAGCGAGGCCCCGCCCCTGCGCCGTAGCCGGTTCCGGTTCCGCCCCCGCGGTCTGGCCAATGGACGACCAGGGCTGCGGCCACTGGCCGACCAATGGAATCCCGGAGTTGTGGCCGCCCGCCCCCGCCAGCTGGCCAATGGGGAGCCGGAGTTCGGCCGTCCTGCGCTTCCGCAGGGCGCACCGGCTCGACCTCGGAGAGGGCTACCAGCGCTTGGCCGCTCTCCTTAGGCGTTTTGTTGGCGAGTCTTGTCCTTAGTGTGGCTTAAAGCTCGCCCGCCTCAGGGACTCATTCTGTGGTCCTGAGTAAAGTAACGGGGGTGGGGGGCGGCCGTTGTCACATCCTTAGAACAGCCCCACGAACCCAGACAGCTTCCTCCGGCTCGGGCGCCGGCAGTCCCCTTCCCACGCGCCCCGCCGGGTCACCGCCGCACGGCCTGGTCCGGGAGGAGGCGCCAGCCCTGGACGTGTGCTGTTCATGGATTTGGGCGGCGTGCGGTGCTGGAGTGCTGCCCCTGCGATCCCGCCCGCCCCTCTCGAGCCTGCACGCAGCAGCGACGTGGTGGCTGGGACACAAGGCGAACGTCTGATGCCACTCTGCTTGGACCTGTGGCTCTCTCACTGCATTGGGAATGAAATCCAAACTTCGTACCCAGGCCAGCGAGAGCCCGCCAGAGATGGYTCAGCCGCCCCTAATCCTGTTCTCCCACCGTCTGCTCTGGACGCCGTTAGCTCAGCCACAGCCGCCTTCTTGCTCTTCCCAGGTCGAAACCCATGAACTCGGCGGTCCCTTCGATCCCTCCGCCTGGAACACCCGAGCTCCGGACCTCCTTGACGCTGGCTCGTTCCGGGCCAGTTCAAATGGACCCTGCTCTGAGAAGCTGTCCCTAGCCCCAAAGATAGCCCGCTCCCCTCCCCATTACATCCCTGTTTATCCAACACCTCGAATTATCATCCTGCCCGCATGTTTACTCCACTAAAGTGGAAGCACTACAGACCAGACCATTGTCCCAGTCACTTGGTGTCCCCAGGATGCAGCACACAGTAGCCATATTCAATTTAAAAAAAAAAAAAATTCTTTTAATGCTGCGGACCGATCCCAGAGCCTAAGCACTAGCTCTACCACTAGCTACACCGCAGCATTTATGAACGCATAAACTTAGAAAAGTAAACACCACGTAGAGGCATCCCAGGTCCCCCTTATACCAAAGTACGTTTTCCCTAACAAAGCCCACAAAATAAACTAAGTTATTTGTCATTTGGAAATCAATTATTCATAAATATCTTAAGTCCTGGGCTGGGGTTTTGGCTCAGCAGTAGAGCACTCACCTAGAATGTAGGAGGCGCTGGGTTCAATCCTCAGCACCACATAAAAATAAATAAAACTATTGTGTCCAACTATAAAAATTAAAAAATATTTTTAAAAATAAATATCTTAAATCCTAAGTTGGCTATACTAACACCATGGAAAGACTCACCCCTACTAAGTATTTCCTTCATCTGCCCCAGACCGCTATCACTTCATCCTCCAGAGATCAAATCAGAAAAAGAGAGAGAGAGGAACCCTGTGTCCCTACAACCTAAAACAAATAGTGTGCCTGGGGAAAACAATCCTTCATTAGTTATATTACTATGGATTAGGAATACAACTGTAACATCAAACCCAAAGTTTCACAAGTATTAAGTTGGTAATTCTATTTAAGGAAACATTAAAACAGTACAGGTGATACTCTGGTAAGGGTCTTGAACTCAAACAGCTGAAGTGACAGGCCATACTCCAGTCCCATGGTCCAGTAGTGACCAGACTCCTAGGTCAGCTCCACCTTAGGGCTGAGTGAAAGCCCAGCAGCACCACCCAGTAGAATCTTCCATCTTGCTTAAAAATTGCAACCTGTGCCTTTGGTGGGCTTATCTTCCCATTTGAAAGCTTTGGATTGGAAGTTTTGAAAATTCCTAGGCAGGAAGTCTGCAGGGACCATGCAAAGGCACATTTCTCCTGGTGCAGGAAGGTCAAGAAGCATTAGGAGCTCAATAAAGAAGTGTAAAAGGGAAGACACTTTCAAAATTAGAATTTTTCAAGTGTGCAAAATCCATCTGAAACACTACTGAGGGGATTACCTGCACACACAAAAAAACTCAAGTGACATACCATGTGGCTATTGCAGGGAACTGGGTAGATGCCCATCCCTCCACTGTATCAAGCTGAATGTCCCCTTTTGAACTAGGAAGAACTGTCTTTCATCAAAAACTATATTTATTTGGTGCTGGGGATTGAACCCAGGGGTGCTTAACCTCTGAGTCCCAGCCCACCCACTTTTTTTTTTTTTTTTGAGACAATCTTACTAAGATGCTTAGGGCCTTGCAAAGTTGCTAAGAAAAACCATTTTATTTTTTATGTAAAAATAAACCCCATGACTCCCATAGCCAATCGTATTTGAATTTTTAAAATTTTTTTTAGGGGCTGGGGTTGTGGCTCAAGCGGTAGCGCGCTCGCCTCGCATGCGTGCGGCCTGGGTTCAATCCTCAGCACCACATACCAACAAAGATGTTGTGTCCGCCGAGAACTAAATAAATATTAAAAATTCTCTCTCTCCCCTCTCACTCTCTCTTTAAAAAAATAAAATAAATTTTTTTTAGTTGTAGATGGATACAATATCTTTATCTATTTATTTTATGTGGTGCTGAGGATCAAAATCAGGGCCTCATGTGCGAGGCAAGCGCTCTACCACTGAACTACAACCCCCAGCCCCATATTTGAATTCTTATAAACGTTAAAGTAGGGGTCTGCCTTAACAAAATATGAAGTCTTTGGCATATATTCCCATGGAATTATATCCACCCCTGATTTTTGTTTTCTTCCCTATATTATCCGTCCCCCCACACCTTTACTCAATGATTTGTGTTTTTGTATTACATGTGGATACTAGGGATCAGAACCCAGGGCCTCACACATGCTAGGAAAGCACTGTTCCACAGAGCTCCACCCCAGCCCCAGTATTACATGCATTTTTAAGGTTTCATGCATTTCCTAATCCTTTCTCTGAAATATGGGAAAGTAATCAAGACAAGCATATAAAAACTAAAGATTGACCCTGATACAAATAAATGCCCTACAACCTTGGTAATCATGATAAGCTAAATTCCTAACATTTATTCACAATCATGTACTATACTCAGGCCATGCCAGCAATGGGAATGTTCATCCTGCATTGCTCTGAACACCTGGACAGCCACAGGAATGGATGAAATTCATAGAACACTTCACAAGAATTTTTTACAAAAATAAAAAACATTTATTAAAATGTTTGGGAGAGGGATACAGGACTGTCACAGTCACTGGAGCCCGGGCTACGGTTTTTAAAGGGACTTAGTCATGGTGGTCGAGTGCCCAGCTTTGCTGTTCTGATCCAGGGGTGGCTGAGGAACACAGCCAACAGGAGGAGGGACACCAACAGTAAGCCCTTGGCAATACACTGAGCATAAGGTTCCCCTGGAGGACAATGGAAAAAAAAAAAAGAAGTAATGTTAATTCTTAACTTTTTTGTAAATATTTAGGTAGAAGTAAGCTAAACCACTAATAGTGATATAATTTCTAAGCATATCAATAGCAATACATTGTTTCTTTTTAAACCTTCCTATATGTCTTAAGTTTTCTGTGACATTTACATGTTATTTTTAAATTTTAATTTATGTAACATAACTGATAATCATCGCAGAAATCTGTTTTACCTTACCTTGATAATGCTGGGTCAATGGATATAGAAGTTGTGGCCAACACACCGCATTTCTATTACAGTCGTACTCTGTAAAATTGATCTGAAATCTACAGAACATTTTAGACAGTTACAACAACAAATGCAAAGCATCAAAACTTGATTAAAGGAATAAAATTCCTATTTTCAAATATAAACTTCTCTGCCTCCTAATAATATTTAATATTAACTAGGTCAGCAAATGGATTACCTTGTCAGGGGTCGGGGTAACTGTGCAGGTATTTTAATAAACTGGACTGATGCACTGATAGGGAAAAAGTCAGCCTTATCTTCACAAGTAAGTCCACACTGGTACTGCCAGCTCACTGTGGAGAGCCTACGGGGAAAGACGTGCAGGGAACACAGCCATCATTCATCCAGGGCACTCAGAACACAGGGCATCGTGGTATTACATAAAATTTAAAATGCAGACACAAGACTGAGAAGAACACAGGGCCCTCACACACCTGCACCAGCTACAATCACCCACTGTGGCCAGGCTCTCCCTCGGGCCATCTCATACAGATGCTTTTAAAGGTAACTTGTTTCATCACCTGTTTCTCTCAATTAATGAGATAATAATCATCAGCAGCAGCTACCCATTCAGGGAGTGTGTTCCAGGCTCAAGCCCAGAGCTAAAGTGCTTAGACACAGCAGCTCATGGAACCCTCGACTCACTGTTACTGCACTGGCTTGGTGGTTATGGTGGTTAGCCTCTGTTACTTCTGCCTACGAAGCATTGCTTCTCCTTTCTTCTGGTAACTGTGCCCCCATTTTGCCTTGAAGAACCACCATTGCCACACTCTCAAGTCTAGAGGACCAGAGGGCACCAGCCAGAACCTAGATCTGGACCACCACCTGAGCCCACAGGTATCTATTGTCCCCGCCATAAGTGATTGGTCCAGAAAGGAGCAATGACTCAAAAGGAGCCAGCGAAAGTCTGCCCAGACCTTTCTAGAGAGCATCCTCTCCACTGGAGTTGCTAAACCGATGCGAGGAGGAACACCAGTGTTCCTCTTCGCCATCTGTGTTCCCTTTTTGTTTCTTTGCGGTACTAAGGATGGAACCCAGGGCCTTACATGTGCTAGGCGAGGGCTCTACCATTGAGCGGCACTCTAGCTCTATCTTTTCATCACTTGAGGATGGCTTCCTTGAGAATGAAGCCAACCAGAGGGGAAGGGATCCATGAGACGAAGATCCTGGACCACACGGGAGGCATGAACCACAAACTAGCTGTGTGCAGACTTTTCCAATACGCACCCTATTTTGCTTAATGAGACCATGTCATTTAAAACTGAGAGGGACCTAGTACTCAAAGGTAGTATCACCATGTTATAGATGAGAAAAATATAGGTCAGGAGACACAAAGTAGTTGCCCAAGGTCACACACACAGAGCTCATAAGTGTCTATGGCCTAAGTCCCCACCGAGCAGTGTTCTCCATTAGCATGCCAGTCACACTCATGGACTRTAGAATGTTATGAGCACTAAGGAGCCCCGGTTCACCTTGAACTCCCTGAACAACCTTGCAGAACCTCTCATACCCAGCTCTATAAATTCTTGTGAGGACAAGTTTCCATTATAAACACAGTTCATACACATTCCATCTCTACATACAATCATATTGCTAATAACTGCAATTTATAAATAAGTGGACTCTTTTTTTTTAATAGTTGTCAATGGACTTCTATTTTATGTATTTATATGAGGTGCTGAGATCCAACCAGTGCCTCACACATGCTAGGCAAGCTCTCCACCACTGAGCTGCAGCCCCAGCCCACAAGTGGATTCTAACTTAGCATTTCCCTACTCCTTGGCATGCCCTCCACCAGACCAACTCTCTAAAGTACACTTATCCAAGATGGGGTCGGACCTCGTCTGGATGCCGAGTATCTGCTGCTGAGCCACCCCTTCCACTGAGCCAGCGTCAGAGATGAGGATGCGGATGTGGAGCTGAGCAGGAACATCCGGGCAGGTGCCCAACGCGCTGCTAAAAAACGGGCCCATGTGGGCATCAGGAGCATCTACACCTACAGAAACAGTGAGCTAGGCATTTTTGAAGGAATTTAATATCAGGTTTCTGGCAATATACCAAAAAATCGGAAATAATATTAGGAATCACACTTATGAGGCTTTAATGTCTATAGGCTCAGGTTGTGGCTCCACAAAATACTCAGGCCCTTAAATCTACAAACAGATGCTAATTAACCAGAGTTGTGTTGAAAATGTCTGGTAAACCAGTCACGGACCCACAGAGCAAAGCCCTTCATCATTCTGTTCCCAGCTCCCCACGGAAATCAACCCCATCTTGTAATAGAAACATATAAAACTGCAGTTAAAGGCCACAGAGTTGTTTCAGGGACCCACATTCCTAGTAAAAGCTACATATGACATTTAAAATCCATTCTAACAACTGTAGCCAGATGAAAACCAAATTTCCTGGGCTGTTGCCAGTAAGGCAGTTTAACTAGAAGAGAATTAAATTGAATGAGAAATTAATTTTCCTTCATCTTGAAGACCAGCACTGGGAAAACCAGCAATGAGGAGGGTGGGGGTCTCCTGGCAACCTGGAGGGGCTTCTTTGCTCCTTCAGAGATCCTGAAGGTCGCTCACACTGTTTGAATGTCAGATTTCCTCCTCCTTGACACACGTGTCCCCATCACTTCTCTTCTGCTTATTAACCAGGATTAGAGTTGCTTTGGGCTTAGATACGAAACAGAAGATAACCCTTCCTCCCTGAAGGAAACTAAATGTCATCACCTCTCTGATGCAGCACCCAACCAATCTGGCTGCCCGGACCTTTTACTCCCCGGGTGCTGGGACTGACTGCTGCCCGCCATCCCTCAGGGTCATTCCCCAGCCCATYTTACTGGCCTGAATCCCGAGCCCAGGCTTGGAAAAGCCCAATCTCTGGGCCTAGTGCATCAGACACAGACTGGATGAGCAGGTGGGAGTATGAGACCCCACAGGACCCCTCCCCCCAGTTGTAAAACAGGCACTTCAAGCTAACAAAGATATTATATGATCCCAGGCATCCAGAGGGGACCAAGGAAGGATATAAACATGACCTTCATATCAGCGAGGGGTGGGGACAGCGCAGGGACCACACACTGGATGGCCTCTGGTGTGAATTCCAGTCTGCTGGGCCAAAGTGACTTTGGAGGGTGCACGGAAAGTGAAAGAGCAGTATCCAGAGAGCTGCCCCCACTGGCAGAAGGGGAGGGACCGTGGAGGCAGGCGCTATAGCTTCAATGAGCTCTCTGCAGCCCAAAAGTCAATGCCCAGCGGGAGCAGAAGCTGCTTCCTGTTCAGTTCACATCCAAGGCTCCCCTAAAAACTGGTCAGATGTTGCCTAGGGTGCCACTGAGACCAGCGGGGACCCCGGACTTTGTTCTAACTCTGCCGAGGCTCACTTGTCAGAGGGCTTAGGGTTCATCACAGGAAACCCCATGAGCTAGACCCCAATGACTCAATGGATATGTGGGGTTTGGAGGTGGACTCAGGCCTGTGGGGACCAGCTAAGTTCACTTCACCTCCACTCCCCTGCACACAGCACCTCCCCTTCGTGTTCCACTCCCACCCCCAATCCAACCCGGCAGATGCCTCTGGCCAAGATGCTGGGCTTTCAAACCTCACCTGGCCTCCAGGAGCCCTGTCACCCCCATCACACCTCCACTTCCTGCCCTGCTTTTTCACAGCGCTGTTATCATCACACACCACATGATGCACCCACGCCCAGGAAAGGCGTGCACTCCAGGGTCACTCACAGGTCATTCGAATCACCACTACATTCAGGACACTTCTGATCTGTCTTGTCTGGGACAGGGTGGGTTTGGGTGGTGGGATTGAACCCCAGTCTCATTCATGTTATTCTACTACTGAGCTATTCTACCACTGAGCTATAGCCCACTCCCCAGATGCAGTTTTAGAATATACCCCACAAAGAATCCTATTCCCATGACAACTGCTCCACCTTTCCTCCCAAGTCCTGGCTCCCACCAATACATTTTCTGTTTTACACACTTGCCTATTCTGAATATCACGCATGATGAACTCACACAGGATGTGGTCTTTCTTTTTTGGAAGGAGGGTACTGGGGATTGAAGCCAGGGGTTCTTAACCACTGAGATACATCCCCAGCCCTTTTTATATTTTTTATTTTGAGACAGATGTTACTAAGTTGCTTAGGGCCTTGCTAAGTTGCTGAGCTGGCCTCAAACTTGCAATCCTCCTATCTCAGCCTCCTGAGCCACTGGGATTATGGCATGCACCACCACACCTGGAAGATGCAGTCTTTTGTGGCTGGGCTTATTTCACTTAGCACAATGTTTTCAATCACTTTATTTTAATTTAGAAAGTTGTTTTTATAAACTACAAATGCAATTTTCAAATGCCCGTATTCCTGGCAACTAAAAGTGGAAATGCAAACCAAAGTGCTCTGAGAATCTTCCAGCTTAGTTCAGGCTTTCGTTTACAAAGATCACGAGTTCATAAAATCATGGAGCAGCCGGCCACAGTGGCGCACACCTATAATCCCAGCAGATTGGGAGGCTGAGGCAGGAGGATCACAAGTTCAAAGAGAGCCTCAGTAAAAGTAAGGTGCTAAGCAACTCAGTGAGACCCTGTCTCTAAATAAGATACAAAATAGGGCTGGGATATGGCTCAGTGGTTGAGTGCCCTGGAGTTCAATCCCTGGTACCAAAAAGAGGAAAAAAAAAATAGTGGAGCAATTGGAACTTCATATGAATTTCCTCTTTAAAAAAAAAAAAAAAGAATCATGAATAAGAGGTGAAAAACGTGAAGAGCTCCCTGCCTGGAGAGTAACTAGTTAAGCTAGCAAAGAAAAGTGACCTACCACATCAGACTCTAATGCTACAACTGCTTAGCAACCAAATTACACATCTATCTGTATGTGGCTCCGACTTACGTATTATTTCCAGCCAGCCGTCACTCAGATTGCCGTAATTAGAGTTGCCTCTCATGGCCACATGAGTCGCCTGTATTAACGAATCAAATCTTTCAACAACATTCTGCCTGCAAAAGAGTAAGACATTTCTCAGCCACAGCACGGCCTGTCCTGAGGTCCTTCCCAGAATAGTCTAGGCACACTTGTCGGTGCCCAGAAAAAAATCTGCTGAGGAAATGATATTAAAATCTGATTAGGATACAGAGCAGCACACTGTATTAAATATGTAAGGTCTAGTCTATGTGGGTTTGATTATAGAAACTAGTAAAAGTACTAAGAAAAAAAAAAAATCTGGGAGTCCCCATTCCTCCTTAATGGCCTCCCCAGGATGGACGGTGCAGAGAGGAAACACATACAAAAGCAATTTCTTACTTTGGGCTTAAAATGTTAGTATCTTATGTTATAAAACATGGTTTGCAGCTGGGTGCAGTGGTACATGCCTGTAATCCCAGTGGCTCAGGAGGTTGAGGCAGGAGGATCACACATTCAAAGCCAGCCTCAGCAACTTTGTGAGGCTATAAGCAACTCAGTGAGACCCTGTCTCAAAATAAAACAAAAAAAGAGCTAGGGATGTGGGCCAGTGGTTAAGAGTCCTTGGGTTCAATCCCTGATGGGGTGGCGGGGGGAAGAAGGCATTCAGACAAAGCCATCATGAAACACCACCTCAAATGCACTAGGATTTTTTGTTTTGTTTGGGGTTTTGTGGTGCTGGGGATTGAACCCAGGGATGCATGCACACCCTCTACCACTGAGCTCTACCCCAGCTCCTGAAAAACTGCTTTCCTTATTTTCCTTATTTATTTTACAATACATGCAGTTGCATGTATGCTAAGCAAGCACTCAAAAACTGAGCTGCAGGGGCTGGGGATATAGCTCAGTTGGTAGAGTGCTTGCCTGGCATGCACAAGGCCCTGGGTTCAATCCCCAGCATCACCAAAAAAAAAAAAAAAAATGAAGCTAGAGTTGTGGCTCAGTGGCAGAGCGCTTGTCTGGCCCGTGTGAGCACTGGGTTTAATCCTCAGACCACATAAAATTCATAAATACATACATAAATAAATGCATTTTTAAAAAACCGAGCTGAATCCCAGCCAGGACAGTTATTTTTTTGAACAGGGAAAACAGGATGTGTTGCTGAGGAGGTGGGAAAACTCAAAGTCTCTTACACTGCTGGTAGGAATGTCAAACTGTGCGGCCACTATAGAAAACAGCTTGGCAGTTCCTCAAAAAACTCAAAAGAGACTCACCATACAACTCAGCACTTCTACTCTGGGGTATGTACTCAGAGAACTGAAAGCATGTTCCAACAGAACTTGTACATGACTGTGCACAGCAACGATACTCACCAGCGCCAATCAATTCACCAGCAGAACAACCATCAGTGGATAAATGGACCAACAAGCTGTGGTCCCCACACACAGTGGGATGTGACTCAGCCATGAAGGCAGTGAGATTCTGACACATGCCTCTCATGGTGAACTGAAAACATTATGCCACGTGGGACAAGCCAGGCACTGAGAGTCACGGATTGTATGTTTCCACTGATATGAAAGGTCCAGGGTACAGAGCAGAACACTATTGCTGGTGGCTGGGGTGAGCAGGAGATGAGGTGGACGATGTCACCAGCACAGGGTTCCCTTCTTGGTGATGAAAATGTTTTGGGACTAGACAGAGGTGTTGACTGCATACCCACAGGAATGCACAAATGCCATCAAACTGTTTACTTGACAATGATTAGAGAATGTTATCTCAATTTTTTAAAAAGGAATGCTGGGCAAGGTGGTACATACCTGTAATCCCATTTACTTCAGGGAATGAGGCAGGAGGATCCTAAGTTCCAGCCTGGACAACTTAATGAGACCCATCTCAAAATAAAATGTTTTTTAAATAGGGCCAGGGGTGGGGCTGGGGTTGTGGCTCAGTGGGAGGGCGCTTGCCTAACCTGCCTGAGGCACTGGGTTCGATTCTCAGCACCATATACAAATAAATAAAATAAAGGTCCATCAACAACTAAAAAATATTAAAAAAAAAAAAAAGGGGCCAGAGGTGTGGCTCAGTGGTAGAGTGCTGCCTGGCATGCACGAGGCCCTGGGTTCAACCCCACAATGTATATTCAGATGCATAAATACACTTTCCAGATGCTACCTGCACATTGGAGTTCCAGGTACCAGGGCTTAGCCATTCTTCAATCACACCAATTACACCTGTTCCTGGCCTCCTTAGATGTCTCAGAGTATAAAGTTCAAACAACCTAAACAAACTTCAGCAGAGAACTTGGGGTTCATTGCTTAAACATGGAAGAAGTGGCTTTCATCCAGAGAAAGAAGAGAAAGATCTATTTTCCTTTATGAGGTTGTGTGAACCAACTCTAGCACAAGTGAGTAATCATTCATTTTCTCCCTATCACCTTTACCCAAGTTTCAATTCATTCTAATTTTTCATATCTGCTTTTAGTGGTAGTGAATTATTTGTTTATGTAGTAAATTAATTTTATTAAGCAAATCATTCAAAACTGGATAAACTTGTCAGTAAAACTCACCTGAACTGAGTACAGTTTTCATTAATTCCAACTTCCAAGAGACACCCAGAGAGTACATTTTCTCCAAATAAAATGGGTTTGAAAGTTGCTGATGTGCACAAACCCCTTCCAGCTATAAAAGAAAAAGAGTATCTCCTTACTGTTTTTGCCAAATAAAAGTATAGATCTACTTCAAAGTTTTTCCTGAAGAACAGTAAATAGAAATAAAGTTTCCAGTTTTACAAACTGAGATTATTGTTACTTTAATCCCTTCAAAGACAAACAAAGGTGCCTTTCTGTATCAGAATTCCTAGTCAGGGCAGGGTTCCCTCTGAACATGAGCCAGGTGCCTGGGCAGGCAGGTGTGGGCAATCAGCAGGGAGCAGAGACCAGCCAGGGTGCCGGGAGGCTGTTCTCAGCTCTCCAGGCAGCACCTCCCGGGCTTCCAGAGACAGCGGTGGACAAAGTTAAAAACAGCCTCCCCCTCTTCCCCACTACAGAAGGCAATTTGGCCTGACTAGATTCAAAATATGGAAATGGACATCATCGAGCTCTAGTTTACCAGGAAGCTAATCATAATGGCCATGCAGGTTACCTGGCTGCCAAAGGTGTAAAGTGGTAACGTTGTTCATCCTGTCGGCATGAAGGGCTCGGACAGGCTTGCCAAGTTGGTAACCTAGACAAACACATGCATGGGACTGAGCACCTTTCCTCCTGAAGTTATTTTCAGCAGATAATGGAGGAGAGAATCACAGTGAAARAAAATATGGAGGGAGAGCTTTCTTAAAAATACCCTGAGGGGCGGCTGGGGCTGGGGCTCAGTGGCAGAGCCCTGGCCCTGCACGCCTGCAGTACTGGGTTCCATCCTCAGCACCACGTAAAAATAAATTAATTAATTAAATTTGGTTTAAAAACAAAATACCCTGAGAGAAGGCAATCCACTTCATTGGGGTTTTGGGGTTTGGTTTTTTTTAACAGACATAGACATTCATGTGGTATCTAAAAATACATTTTAGGAATAAAATCTGAAAAGTCAAAAGTAGGCCTGAGTCAGTCCTGCCTCCTTCACACAGCAACTGAGCAGGCATCAATGACCACATGCCATGGGGAGCACCCATCACAGCAGCTGGTGACAGAAACCCAAACCAAAGCATCTACCATTCAGCCCCAAGGTCTGGCTCAGCCCCTCTTCCATCCACYTCCTGGCAAACCTGACTTCAGACTCCCACTTTTACTATGAAAATGCTCCCCCGCATAGAAACATTGACCCACAAACTTGTGTGTGTGTGTGTGTCTGTGGTACTGGGGATTGAACCGGGGGCTCTCTACCACTGGGCTCCATCCCCAACTCTTTTTTCCCACACTTGTTTAACTGAGGCATTACAGTTGTACATCATGGTAGGATTTATTGTTACATCTCCATACATGCACACAATAGAACAATATAATTTGGCCAATATCATTTCCCATCCCTAGCACTTTTTATTTTTTTTATTTTGAGACAGGGCCTTGCTAAATTGCTGAAGCTGGCCTCAAACTTGAGATCCTCCTGCCTTAGCTCTCTAGTTGGTGGGATTATAGGAGAGAGCTATCACACCGGGCAGAACCACAAACTTATCATAATAGCATGAACACTAATGTAACAACCACCTAAAATCAACAACTTAGTATTTAGCCATAAATATAAATATCAGATAAGCATATAAATATATATATATATACATATATATGTATGTCTACACACACACACTTTTCAGGACCATTTGAAAATAAGCTATAGACATCACAACACTTCATTTTTTTTTTTAATTTTTCCTTGTAGACAGACACAATATCTTTATTTATTTATGTGGTGCTGAGGATCGAATCCAATGCTCATACATGTGAGGCAAGTACTCTATCACTGAGCCACAACCCCAGCCCCCTCAATTGTTTTTTTTTTTTAATATTTTTAGTTGTAGATGGACATCATTTTTTTTTTTTTTAATGTGGTGCTAGGGATCAAACCCAGTGCCTTACACATACTAGGCATCCACTCTACCACTGAGCCCCAGCCCCGGCCCACAATACTTCATTTCTACTCCTTTTTTTTTTTTTTTTTTTGTGGTAATGCTGGGGATGGAACCCAGGGCCTTGTGCTTACAAGGCAAGCACTCTACCAGTTGAGCTGTGTCCCCAGCCCACAATACTCCATTTCTAACCTCTGTCGTATCTCCTAAAATTAAGGATATTCCCCTATATCATGACAGCACAAATATTTCTTCTAAGAAAATAATAACTCTTCAAGGTAATATATCTCATTTATATTTGAATAATAGTTGAATAATATATTTAAATAATAATATATTTGAATAGTAATAATAATTAGGAATAAAATCTGAAAAGTCAAAAGGGACATATTTCCTTGTATGTCCCTCTCTAATCAGATCTGACTGAGACCCAGCCATTGCTCCTGTTTCCCACTTTCTTTCCCTGTCCCTGAACCCTATCTGCCCATTGGCTGCTGATCAGCCCCYACTGTGTGCACTTACACTCCTTTCTGCCACCACAGCTTCTGCCTAGGTTATTTCTCTTCCCAATACAAACAACCTGCTTTTCTTTTTTTTTTTTTCTTCTGCACTAGGGATTGAACCCAGGGAYACTTCACCACTGAACAACGTCCCCAGGACTTTTTATCTTTTATTTTGAGTCAAGTCTTGCTGAGTTGCCCCTGCCTCAGCCTCCCCAGCTGGGAGTACTGGCATGCCCACAGCGCCTGGCTCTCACTGCCTGCTTTTAGGGGCCAGGGGGTTATGTCTCCTCTGCAGGCCCCAGGAGGGAAACCCACCAAGGGTAGTGGCTCCAACAGGCTCACTGCCTGACCGCCAGCATGTGACAGAGCTCCTCAGTGAGGGGCTGTGTGGCTCAGTGGGCAGCTCCCTACTTGGTGACAGTTCCAGGGCACTTGTCCCTAAGCACGGCACTTGTCTGTCAGTCACCTCAGTGTTTTCATTGTCTTTTCTCATAATGTGATGCTGTCTTTCCAAGTAAGATGGTAAGTCCTTGGAGACATGGCTCACAGTATGCAGTGCTCCAAAGCCCAAGTCCAACTCACAGCGGTCCCCTGGGCTGCTGAGATCCCCTCTCCCCAGCTCACCCTTATGACCAGACCTTCAATATGTTCCACATAGTCTGACAGCATTTCTCAGAAATCCTATGAAAACACTTAAATTCCAGAAGGCAGCTTTCAAAGTCAACAATAAACCCCCAAACTCCACAATAATAGGTTTTTAAAAAAATAACATCCAGGGCTGGGGATGTGGCTCAAGTGGTAGCACGCTTGCCTGGCATGCGTGCGGCCCGGGTTCAATCCTCAGCACCACATACAAAGATGTTGTGTCCGCCGAAAACTGAAAAATAAATATTAAAAAAAAAATAGATCAGTAACTAAAGAGAAAGAATTTGTACTTTCATTACTTGTCACTAAGTAGGACATTTCGTGTAAAAAAAAAAAAAGATGCTATCAGAAAAAAGTATACAATGTCACAAAAATGAATAAAGAAGCAGGTCAGCAAAGCAAAGTGGGGAGTGCCCATGACCTTGGGTTGGGCTGGTGTGGCTGAGCTGCAGACTGCTCGTAGGACAGTGACGGACAGACGGCACAGGCGGTCACCTCACCTGGGTTTCCAGACATCTCCTCTTCATTACCACTKCTGTGGCTTAAAAACTTCACAGTAAACCTCTGAGTTATTACTCCTAGAAATAAACCCAAACAAAGACATATTGTGCATCACTCACTGGGAAAAAAGCTGTCCCCATGTGTTATTTTCTTTAAAAATTGCAGTTTGGTGTGCAGATGAATACTGTCTCTGTGACTAACTCACAGACACAGATAAGAAAAAAAATCCGACTTCATTTTATGGTTATAAATATAAGGATCAGAAAGGAGGGAGGGAAAGAAGGAAGGAAGGAAATTGGACTTTAAATTTAAAGCATTCTCACTACCTCAGTTACCTTTCTGGAGGGCACTGACTTCTGCCCTGATAATCTTGACATTTATCTCACTGATTGTGTTATTATTCCATCTGAAAATATAATGCTCTTCCACATTCACATATCTGGAGGCTGATCCGTGGCCTAAAAGTACTTCTGCAAATACAAGAACACTCCATGACTAAGGACCCGCCACTGGTGTCTCTCTGCCTGGGTGACTGTTCCCAGAGTATCCCACCCTGCCGCCGCCTCCAGCTCCAGGGAACCTGCCCTGGTCCCTGAGTCGGTGCCAGCAGCCCCCTCTTGTTCACATTACCCTGAAGGACATCGTCACTTCCCTTTTATTCCTGAGTTCCCAGTGTAGTAGGGACAAACGAGGCAAGGCACCGAAGATAGCAGGAAACAGTTATATTTGGCTACAGCCAGGCTCAGAGGGAACAGCTTTTGCTGTAATCAATCAATCCCCTGAACCCCAAGTTCAGGGAGTTTCAGAGTGTGTAAGGGGAGGGGCTCAGAAGTTCACAGTCTGCAGAAGTTCACATAAAAGCAGCTTTTTCTTTCACTGTTCTGGGCAAGTTAACTCTTCAAGGATAACACCTGAGAAGGGGAGAGCTTCTTCTCCCCTTTCCTCCCTCCCCCTTTACCATGGGCCCATTTGTAACTTATCTTAAAAATGCAGACATCTCTGTGAAGTCCAGCTCAAGGCCAGAGGCCTTGTTTGCACATTTTTTCAAAGTACTATACTGGATATGTTTGTGATAACTAGTAAGGGGATGTCTAGCACCTGGAGTGCTGGTATCTTCTCGGCCAGTGCCCAAGTAAACAGGGCAACACGAAAATAGGAAGTTTATCTATACTGGACTCTTTCTCAGAGACTCTTTTGCTGACAATCCTAAAATCAGCCAAGGTGAAGAGGGCTTTWCTGTGGAGAAAGGGGGTGCCCACTTCACCAGCACTTGTCTCAACATGACATAGAGCAGGCATTTGGTGAAATATTTGTAAAGTGAAAGATTCATAAGTGGGGCCTGCCACCTAGCTGCCTACTACATTGAAGGAACTTGATGAAGTAATGAATGAACTGGAGAAGTACAACGCACCATAAAGGAACACAAATACTATCTCTCATTAGGAACAAAGTCCTGTCAGCCACAGTGGTGTGCACCTGTAATCCCAGTGAGCCAGGAGGCTAAGGCTGAAGGATCGCAAGTTTGAGGCCAGCATCAGCAACTTAGCAAGACTCTGTCTCAAAGTAAAATTTCAAAGAGTGCTCTTGGGTTAAATTTCCAATATCCCCCCTGCTACACACACACACACACACACACACACACACACGAAATGTCCTGATAATATCAGCCATACTTTATATAATTTACTTGGCTGCATCACAATTAAAAGCAAAACATGAGGGTCTGGGGTTGTGGCTCAGCGGTAGAGCACTCGCCTAGCACATGCAGGGCGCTGGGTTCAAGCCTCAGCACCACATTAAAAAAACAAAAAGGTATTATGTCCAACTACAACTAAAAAACAAAAAATATTTTAAAAATCGAAACATGAAAATATGGTATCCGAAAGAATTTTGTTTGTTTGGTTTTAGTTTTTGGGGGGATACTGGGATTGAACTCAGGGGCACTCAACCACTGAGCCACATCCCCAGCCCTATTTTGTATTTTATTTAGAGACAGGGTCTCACTAAGTTACTTAGCACCTCACTTTTGCTGAGGCTGGCTTTGAACTTTGATCCTCCTGCCTCAGCCTCCTCAGCCACTGGAATTACAGGCGTGCACTACCACACCTGGCTTCTAAAGAGTTTTTTAATGACCTGACAAACATCTAAGAAAAGTCTCTAGGAACCTGAGAACTAGAAGGGACCCCAAAACTCATCCAATCCAGGCCTGGCAAGGTGGGGGTTGAGGGTGCTGCCTTGTGGTCACAAGAGAGTACACAGCAAGGTGGAACAAGGAACAAACAAACTACTCTTGGGATGTCTTCCTGACTCCAGTAAGCCCCCCAAAATTCTTAATAAAAATGTATTTTACTCTGGAGCTATATAACACTCATAAAAATAACATATTTCTGCAGAAATGACATAAAAGTCTAACAGTGAGAATACCTGTATTGGTGATGAATTTGTCGAGGTCACCTGCTTCCTCATAGGTCACCGTTGGTGTAACTATGCCTGAAAAAATACATAAATCAGCTTCCCCAAGACTGCACTGTCCAGGTGATCTCATTTACTCACCCCAAGGAAAGGTGGCCAGGCAAACACGGAAGCTATGCCTGCCCTGGGAGCCGGCCACAGCCACCCTCCAGCATCAGCAGACACAGGTCACCTCAGCAAGCAGCAAGGACCAAGAGGATCCCAGAAGCCAGAGAGAGTACCAGGTGCCACTCCCATCAGGGCCAAGGCGGTGGGCTACCAGTGGGGTGTGAGAGACTGCAGCACTTGGGAGAGCAGTTGGTGGTCCCACAGCGTCACAGTCCCACGTGATGTGGCGGTCCCACTCCTAGGCATGTGCCCAAGGAAAATGAGAACGCTCGTGCAAAAACCTGCGCACAGGTGTTCACACCAGCACTGTTCACAGTACCCAACAGGTGGCCCGGTCGGACCATCCATCAGCCAACGAATGGAGAAGCAGAACMCGGTACATCTAAGCAACAGATGCGACCCAGCCACCAACAGGAAGGAAGCTGACATGTGAAAACGCACTCAGTGAACGAGCCAGACGCGGAAACCACACACYGCAGGGTTCCACTTGTACTTAATGTACAGGTAAATCCACAGACAGAGAGAATAGGTGGGGCTGCAGGGGCCSGAGGGAGGGGGCAGGGAGCAAGCACGAATGGGCACAGGAGTTCTGGCAGGTGATGCGAAAGTTTAGAAATACACAGAGGTGGGAATGCACTAAATGACACTGAATTACATTATGTCATGGAAAATTTCCTTCAATTAAAAAAGAAGGAACCGGGGCTGGGTTGTGACTCATTGGTAGAGCACTTGCCTGGCATGAGGCCCTGGATTCAATCCCCAGCAAAATAAATAAATAAATAAATAACGTGTGCTAGGCTGACCTACAGAACTGAACTTTTTCCAAAGAAAACACCATCCTCAATTGCCAGTTGAAATTTTAAGTTGATCTGGTAGAAGTGACTTATAATTTCACAAGGTTATACTTTAACACTGGGGTCTCTTCTTTCTCCAGACACATGACATACCTCCCATGGTGCTGCTCTTTATCTTCGAGTTGATAATGCCATCTCGTTCTTGGTACACTTCCAAATTAGTAGTGCATTTATCATCAAAATTCCGAAGGAATGCTACAGGGGCATCCCGAAGACACTGCCCAGCCAGGGACACCTGAGGGTAAGGACATACCCAGCAGATTTGTGATCCTTCTTCTAATCATAAAAACCAGATCAGCATCTCTTAAAATTRGTCCTTCTGTCAACTGCCCCTGTCCATGGTCTGGTTTCAACAGTGGCTAGTCTGCTGAACTGACCAGTTTTTGCACAACCTGGAATAACAGGTCAAGGAGTCACACCAGCATTATTTAATAAAATTGAGTGAGATCCTTTGCCCCACTCTGTTGACTTTTTGTAAATTTAAAAAATATTTTTAGTTGTTGATGGACACAATACCTTTATTTTGTTTTTGTTTATTTTTATGTGTTGCTGAGGATCAAACCCAGGGCCTCACATGTGCTAGGCAAGTGCTCTGCCACTGAGCCCCAGCCCAGCCCTGCTCTTGACTTATGCAAAAACATAATATTCAACTTCATTTCCCTTCCTCTTCATAACTACATGGCGGGGGTCGGGGGTGCTCCACACATGCTATGCACCAGCTCTACACTGAGCTCCAGCCCCCAGATTTTCTTAATGTCTAAAAACGGACTCATATGGAGAGTAAAGAGAAATGGTTTTACATCCCATGTTTTCTTCTCACAGATGTATTTTCCTAATAATGTTAAACTCAAAAAAATAAAGATTCCATTTAAAACTTTGTAAACCCTAAAATATTTCTCAAAATTCYACATGATACATTAGCCAGGCACACACCTACAATGGGGGCTGAGGAAGGAGGACTGCAAGTTCAAGGCCAGCCTCAGCAACTTAGAAAGACCCTAAGCAACTTAGTGAGACCCTGTCTCAAAAAAAAGGGGGGGAGTTGGCTAGGGATGTGGCTCATTGGTAAAGTGCCCCTGGATTCAATCCCTGGTACAAAAAAAAGTAAAATGACATATTTATGGCTTACTAGAAATTGGCTATCAAACTAACAAAAGTAAACAATAATCATTATTTCCAAGGAAATTTATCAAAAATATTTTTTACTTGATAGTTCATTCTGAGATTTAGCAAAGCTAGTGATTAATAGTGAGTTTTTTAAAAGTCCATAGACCATCCATAGTAAAATCCCTGGTAAATCCACAGGAGAAGAGTAATGTGGGGAGAGATTTTCAAGAGCAATGAGTTCAATCAACAGTAGGACAGGGAAAACAAGCGCCTGGCATGTCCAAGCTCAAGTCGTTACCTGCGGAACAGTAAAATACCCCTTGTTGACGGTCAGGACGGGATCTCCTTGTTTGTAGCCGAAGTCTGGAAAGCCCTGTGGCTCAGCATGCAGATGCGCTTCAAAGGCAGGGTGGTGCCCAGGGGAACTGCAAGCCACAGCAGASACTATCAGTGACATGTCAGCTGTCACCCACTGAAACACAAGTCTTCCTTCAAGTTTTCCTTTACTTTTTAATTATAAAAATCAGAGTTGTAAATTGTCAACAATACAGATCTATAAAACACAGAGGGTAGAGGGCCCCTGTAGGGCCGGGCATGGCAGTACACACCTCCAATCCCAGATTCTCAGGAGGCTRAGGAAGAAGGATCAGATTCAAGGCCTGCCTGGGTAACTTAGCAAGATCCTGTCTCTAAAAATATAAAGAGGGCTGGGATGTGGCTCAGGGGTGGAGCACCCCAGGTTCAGTCCCCAACACTGCAAAGAAAAACTCCCCCGTGGGCCTGCTGGCCCTTCTACCTAGAAAGTCACCCACTGTACGCTGGGTCAGCTGGCTTATGCTCAGTCTTCCAAACACTTAACAAAAGCAACTTCACTAACTGACCTCTAGAATTAAATCACTTCGGGTGCTAAGAAAAGTGTGATCCCAGCTACAAGGCCTGCTGGAGGTGGCTCTGTGGCCCTGGGAGATGAAGCCTCTCCCAGGCACAGCTCTGGTACTTACATGGCACCATGATAGAAGTGACCGAGGAAGGGTGAGTTGGCCAGAGGTGACTGCACGCACAGGAAGGGGAACCAGTCGGGGACCTGGCCAGGCTTCCCAACAGCACACAGCTGATCAAATGGAGGATTGACGTCTCCTCCAAAAACACCAGTGAAGCAGGACAGTCTGAACAGGTCTCTGGCCTCTGCCGAGCACTCCTTGAAAGCAAGAGGGCCTGCCAGTCAYGGTCCTCAGCAAGCAGATGACACTAACTCAGGCCAGCAAGATACAACCAAATAGGTGAGAAGCAAACACAGTGCCATCTCCTCTGACAGTACTTGGTGCCCATAAGAAGTAAAATTTCCAGAATTTCCTTAGTCAACTCCCTCACGAACTTCAAGCCTTCAGGGGAACTGCAGCTCTACTWGGGACGTAAGAAGTGGCCACCGAAAGCAAGAAGAGACAGCAGAGGACAGATGGGGATATGACAGAGCAAACCCCTCTTCTAACCTTTGTCACTGTTCAAACCCTGACATTCAGAGGTAGGGCATGCGGTCCACACCCACAAGCCTCAAGTGCTGCCCACTGTGTCCTCATACGACCCCATCAGTGACATYGAGAATCACTTATCCACAGGCTCATTCTGCAGCTATGTCCTTCCTGTCTTACAAAGCATGGAGGGAGCTGCAGGTTAAGCTCTGTCCTGAAGACCGAGCTGCTGCAGTAGTCATTTTTCTTTACTTTTTAATTATAAAAACTTAGGCTGTGGCTGGGGCTCAGTGGGAGAGCCCCTGCCTCGCTCGCGTGAGGAGGGGTTCAACCCCCAGCACCCTCCCCTGCCAAGGAAAAATGTAACTGAGCTACTGTTTCAAACATGAATAGTTCAAATCAAAAACTGCGTAGAAAACATGGTAGGTTGTGGTCCAGAACAGACAGCACACCACGTTGGTGCCATGGTGTGTGACTGCAAACATGGCATCTAGGGGACATGAACTCCGGTCACCTGCCACTCTAGAAGCTTCTGTCAGAGACACCCTCATGCACCACGGGGTCCTGGACATTGCCCACTCATTTTGTAGCCATCTTAGTTTGGGTAAGTACTCTTTGACATTGGCACTACACAGGGCCTAACAGTGATGATGCGGAGTCGTCCCTGGGGCTAGGTGACATGTGGCTATATGCACTCTACAGACTGACTACGTAGGCTAAAGACACCCGAAAAACAGCAGGAGCAGAAAGTTCCTTCTGACCTGGGTGCAAAAGATGAAATTCCCTCAGAAATGCTCCTTTCTCTTCCTCTTTTTTGGTGGAGGGCAGCTCAGGCCCGCCAGGCCCCCTCTCTTGGCTGAGGTGCCTGCCACAGGCAACATCTCGTCCTCAAGGTGACAGCGCTGAGGCTGAAGGGTTCTCACACATAAGCCCTGCGACACTAACCCCCTTCCTCCTCACCCCCCTCCAGCTGACCACACAGCAAAAGCAACGCCTGCACCACTTCCTTACCTCCTCGTTCCCTACAGGGCACCCACACCAGGAGACACCTGCACTCAGTAAGTGTGCATGCTCCTCCAGGCCACCCACCCGTCAGCTCACTCCTCAGACCAGGGGCCGCTGACAAAATGGAGATGGAGCTTTGCCCCTGGAGATAGAAATAGGGAATAGTAGCAGGAGAAGAGGGAAAGAATATCACCCTGACATTTTTAGCGACACTGGAACCAGATTTATGATGTGCTTTTATCTTTTAATATAATGGTTGTCATAGGTCTAATTACAAGAATTATAACATCACTAGGTGCAGTGGCGCACTCCTGAAATCCCAGCTACCCAGGAGACTGAGGGAGGAGGATTCAAGTTCAAGGCCAGCCTTAAAAAAGGATGGGGACGTGGCTCACAGTAAGAGCATCCCTGGGTTCAATCTCCAAAAGTAAAGAACTTTTTGTGGGGAACTAGTGAATCTGAACAAACTCCCCCAAAGAAGACACAAATATATCAAATAAGCACAAAAAATCTGACCATCATCACCTGTCAGTAGAGAAACACAAATCAAAATCAGAAAAGCCGCTCCATACATACTAGGAGGGCTACCATCAAAAGAGAGATAATAACAAATGCTGGTGACAATACAGAAAAACTGCAGCCCACACACTTTGCACCAGGAATGCAAAATAGTGCGATTGCTTTGGCAGAGTCTGAAAACAGCTTCTCAAAATCACTCCTGATGACCCGGCAATTCTAAACCCAAAAGGATGGAAACACCCCTGGGCCGACACCTCACACACGCTGCTCACAGCGGCCATCCATCACGGCCAAAGAATGAAAGGAACRACATGTCCTGCCACTGACATGCCCTGCCACTGATGAAGGGGTGCAAGACAYGTGGTGCGCCTGCGCAATGGAGGTGATTCAGCGTGACAATGAGGCTCCAGCACAGGCCACACAGGACAGTCTAGAAAACCACACTAAGTGAGAGGCAGGGCTCAGCACGCCGCAGCATGGGATTCCGCTTACAGGTAACACACAGAACAGGCAGATGCACAGTGTCCTGGGATGAGGACTGGGATCATAAATAGACCCAGGTCTCTTGAGGTGACAGAGGTGTTCACAAGTCAGATGTGGTGATGGTCRTACAACTCTGAACATTTACTGACAATCACTACACCAACGTGCTTTCTTTTTTTGTATTTTCTTAAAGGATCCTAAAACCACCCTCTCACTCGCTGCAACCACGACTTCCTCCAGGGATACATTTTTTTCCTCCATAAACTCAACTGACAAAACTAGATAAGAAAACACACAATTTGAAAGCAATTTGCAAATGAGATGTCATCTCAACTCTGAAAGACTGTCTATTAAAAAATGGGACCTGCCGCTCTCAGGCAGCAGAGAGAACATACCTGGTCACAGCAGCAGCGAACATCACAGGCACCAGCAGTTAAATTGCAAGGACAAGGACCAAGGGGCTGATACACCTGGTTAGGAATAACAGTCATGTTCTCTGAAAAGCACAGACAACAGAAAGATCAGCTGTAATACAATCTGACAAAGCTCTGTCACATTTGTGACACTCAAAAAAAAAAAAAGCAGAATCGTTATTTTCTAAACCACCATCACCTGACATTGCCCCATAAGGACCCTTGAAACGGGCAATGTAACAAACATATCTGAAGCTGTGTCTGCTGCACCAGCAAAAGCCACATAGAGAACACACCAATTACAGTGAACCAAAGAAGTACAGTTGATCTCGAAGGAATCACATCAGTTAAAAATTATTAATTAAGATAAATGTAAAAAAAAAAGACTGTAGAAGAAATACATAAGTTGTAAACAGAAATTATTGCCTAATGGTAGAATTAAGGGCAATTTTAAAATTTTTCCTCTAATTTTGCAGGTTCTAAAATTTAAAATATACATTGTTTTTATATTTAAAAGAGAAGCATTGGGCTGGAGTTGTGGCTCAGTGGTAGAGCACTTGCCTAGCACATGTGAGGCCCTGGGTTCAATCCTCAGCATCACATAAAAATAAATGAATAAAATAAAGTTATAAAAAAATAATAAAAGAGAAGTATTGTGTTTAAAATCCCTATGGACTTAATGGTCAATTTTTGACAAATATGTTAAAAAGCAAAAATAAAAGTTGATATAATAGGGCTGGGGATGTAGCTCAGCGGTAGAGCGCTCGCCTCGCATGCGTGCGGCCCGGGTTCGATCCTCAGCACCACATACCAACAAAGATGTTGTGTCCGCCGAGAACTAAAAAAAAATAAATATTGAAAAAAAAAATTCTCTCTCTCTCTCCTCTCTCACTCTCTCTTTAAAAAAAAAAAAAAAAGTTGATATAATAATCTGATATATAGATATAAAATAACTGTTACCCTAAGACTAATGAATAAAATATGTTACAAAAATTTTTAAAAAATGAACATAATCACAGGTTTTATTTTTCAATATGCTGAACAATTCTATTCAAAATACAGCTGATATTAAGCACAAACACAGTGACATTCAGGCAGCTTATCTGGAATGCATCTAGATCATGTTTAATAGGCTACACGCTCAGCCTCGAGTGACTAGCACATCTGAGTCAGATCTGCACATCTCGGCTCTGGTTCAGCATGGGGGAAGAACCCAGAGGCAATTATGGCTTGTGACAAACTCCTGCTGCCCATTCTAAGTACCTGCCCCCACATGGCTAGGACATCCCCTTAATAGACCTCTCCTGTCCATTCTCCACCCAGTTGTAGAGATATTTTTTTAAAAAATGTAAGTGAAAGCTGGGCCCAGTAGTGCACGCTTGCAATCCCAGTGGCTGGGGAAGCTAAAACAGGAGGATCCTGAGTTCAAAGCCAGCCTCAGGGGGCTGGGGTTGTGACTCAGCGGTAGAGCGCTCGCCTAGCATGGGCAAGGCCCTGGTTCAATCCCCAGCACCACATAAAAATAAATAAAGATATTGTGTCCAACTACAACTAAAAAAAATATATTAAAAAAAAAAAGCCAGCCTCAGCAACATAGCAAGACGCTAAGCAACTCAGTGAGACCCTGTCTCTAAATAATATACAAAAAAGGGCTGGGGATGTGGCTCAGTGGTTGACTGGCCCTGGGTTTAATCTTTGGTATAAAACAAAATATGTAAGTTAAGCCACACCACTCTTGTGCTAAAGCCCCCAACAACCTCACCCTACCTGCAGTGCCCAGGATCTGCCCAGCCTCCTGGCCTCTGCAGACTGCCTCTCTCCCCTGGAAGCCCCTCCTGAGGTCCCTGTTGTACAGTTGAAAGGGTACACCACCACCCCCAGAGGCCTGGCAGAGCCTCCCAGGGTCTCCCTTCGCCCCAGCAGGGGTCCCATTCTCAGCGAGGGTCCCTCATGTCCATTGTCCACTTATCTGTCAGGCTGGTAGAGCCRAGAAGGAGATACGCTGCCCCCTCCTGTCTACTGAGCAACCCCAGCCCAAGCAAGCTGCTACCCAGGGGCAACAGTTTTACTGAGGTGGAGTTGACACTTCAGGGGTCTGGGTGTGTTCACAGTCACATTAGGACACGTCCACTAACTCAGGAGGAAGCCTGCACCCTTCCATCCCCTCCCACCCTCTGCACCCACCGCTAGCCGACCAGGCACCGGGCTCCCCTGCACACTTCCCCATAGATGGCCTCTTCACTTACCATAAGGTTTGGGAGGGGGGTTTCTTTATAGCTATATTTTATTTATCTTTATGTGGTGCCGACGATCGAACCCAGGGCCTCACACGTGCTAGGCAAGCGCTCGACCCCTGAGCCACAGCCCAGCCCCTGGCATGAGGTTTCAAGGATCATGAGTTAACAGGGCTTTTAAATTGATGACCAGGATGAATTTCAGCAGGGGCTCAGGTTCATTTCCTCCATGCTGACACCAGTCCAGGCTCACTGGGCAGTGACCAGCAGTCAGGGAGCACCAGCAGTGCCTGGGAGGCAAGCGGAAGTGACTTCAGCTGGAACAAAAATCTCTTCACAACAGCCCAACGGTGGGAAGTGCCAAATGCCTACCAACAGGTCAGTGGACAGGAAGACCGGAACACACYCACACAGTGGACACCACTTGGCCAAGGGAGGCAGTGAAGCACTGACAGATGCTACATCATGGACCAACCTTAAAATAAGGGCCAGACATAGGTCACAAGCYGCTGTGCAGCTCCTTTATATGAAATGTCCCAAACAGGCATCTCCAGAGAGAGAAGGCAACAGCCTGTGGCTGATGGGTGGGGCCAGGGAAGGAACAGGAGAAGCTGCAGACAGGTAAGGGGTCTCACTCTGGAGTGACAAGAATGTTCTGGAACTAGGAGCCATGGGTTGCACACCACCACTAATCCACTAATGCCACCAAACCCTTCCTTTAAATGGTTATTTTGTGCCTTGTGAACTCCACCTCAATCCTTCTTTTTAAGTAGAAGAGTGCTGGCCAAACTCAGCACATAAGAAACAAAATGCTCAGTAACTCCTGCTATGAGGAAAGATCCTACCATGTTCCTGCACTCGGCCCCACCACCCCACCCCACCCACCGCCCCAGCAGGTGTTTAACCCAGGACTAAAAACCACAGGAAAACAAGGCTGTACTCCTGCTCCTTCACCCTTCACAGGAATCCATTCTAAAAATCTCCATTTTCAGGATATAATATTAGAAGAATTAAAGTTGGAGAAGTCAATCATATAACATGTGTTCTGCTTGGTGAGTGGGGCCAGMCCACGCCAGCACCACAATACCACATCGGCCTACTGAACTTTGGGTCTTATGTGTGGTAAAGATGACATTTTTGGATATCAGTACACGGAAACATGTTTCACTTTCTCTCAAGAAGGATTTGAAGTGTTTTACAAAAGATACAAACAGTAAATCAAGGAAAACCTTAAATAAAACAGTACAAAGCAAAAACTTTTAAAACAAGAAAACAAYGACAAAAAAGAATACATTTAGGATGACAAGACAGACTCAAGAATAAAGTCAAGGGGGCTGGGGCTGGGGCTCAGTGGCAGAGCACTTGCCTAGCACATGTGAAGCACCATGTAAAAATAAACAAATAAAATAAAGGTATCATGTCCATCTACAACTAAAAAAAGAATAAAGTCAAGCCCACTTTTAARTTGCATGTCATAAACTTATAACCAAACAAGTAATATCTGACATAAATGTTTGGACATCAAAGACTGTACTTGCCTGATGCACCCTGGGTCAGAGAAGAGTTGGCATAAATTTCCACCTGAATGAGGAGATGTGCTAAGCAGGATGAATTGTGAGATGCTGAAACCAGAAGAGTCTGGACAATACAAGGGGACTCAGAGAAGGACTCTGTCTCATTGGAGGAACACTGCTCCAGGCCCCTCTTCAGCCTCACTGTCACCTCCAAMACGTTCTGAAAGGAAAACACTGCTATACTTAGTGAACTCAAAACAACATCTGTGATCCTAAGAACACAGAATGGAAAGCACATTAAAGCAYACATTAGCCTCAGTGCATTTTGCAAAAGAAGAACCATATTCAAAGATGACAGAATTCTCAATTYCACCCCTAAACCTGTCTAAACCAATCGAAATATGTAAGCTCTGATTCTGAATTTTTAGCAAACAACATTTGAATACTTACAGAAAGCTAAACAGAGGTCTGATAAGTTAGTTCAATTTATCTAGACCCTTCTTAAATGTATTTATTCTCTCACTATTGAAAGATGAAATACCAAAAAGTCAATGAAAATGATCCCCAGTTTCTCTCAGAATGGCTCTGGACACGCAAACATCTATTCCTAAGGTATAAGCAGTCTKTCTTTCTTGTCCATTTATCTCAGAGTTGATACTAGACACTCAGTGGACACTTATTCTATGAAATACATGTCACCTCTCCAGTCTTCACAGTCCTGACACGGAAGCTCAGATCCAGTGGTTATGAAGTTCTTTTGAGTTCCAGAACCATTTGATAATTTGACATAAGCTGGCAGACTTCTCATCAGAAAAATGCACACAGGCCAGGCACATGGCCCACGCCTGTAATCCCAGCAACTAGAGAGGCTGAGGCAGGAGGATGGCAAGTTCAAAGTCAGCCTCTCAGCAGATTAGCAAGGTACTTRGCAACTCATCGACACCCTTTCTCTAAATAAAATATAAAAAAGGGCTGGGGATGTGGCTCAGTGGTTAAGCACCCTGGGTTCAATCCCTGGTACCAAAGAAAAGAAAAAAAAAATGCACACAGAATTCAACAGACTTCACCAAGCCCTTGAAATCAGCCAAGGCTCCCTAGCCCAAGGGTTGGAACACTGGGCTGGATGGGTGTCTGCACTGACAGCGCACACTTCCACAGCGGTTCTGACCTGGAAAACGCTACAAGTATTAATTCAAGAGCACACTGCAGAAACCAACCCGGTGGGGGGGGGGGGGTTCTGCTGCAGCCTTACCACACTTGGGGTCACAGTCACACTCCAGTCTCCCGTCTCATTGCTCAGCACATCACAAGTTGGAACTGGCAACACTCCTAAAGGAGAGAAGATTGCAAGGCAGCAGGGTCCAGGGGGTTCCGACTGCCTAGGACGGAACCCCTATACAAGGGTGACATTAGGGAGGGAGGTGGCAACCTCTCTGAACTTCAGTTTTTTTCATTGGTCCAATGGGAGGGAAAGATGCTACTATTTTCATCAGGGACGTGAGGCAGGGCAGACAAGCACAAAGATTAGCCATTAGTTCAAGCTCTCTTACGGAACCAGTCGCCCGTCCTSTTTGCTCCACCCTGCTTGCTGAGGGCAGAGGCAAGGCCCGCAGGTCGCCCCCAACCCCCACCAGAAGGGCCCACTCCTCACCAGCCTCGACCTGCAGCGGGGCCAGGGACACGGTCACCTCCTCGGGGCCTCCGACCAGGGCCGCGYTGACCGCACTACCGGACATTCGAATGAAAGGCGGGATGAAAACTAGGAGAAAGGTAAGGGGTAGGCGAGATTAACGGCCACACGACCCCTGCCCGCGGCGTGCGTGTCGGCGGCTCCCGCGTCGTGGCTTCCGGGCCCGGGRAGTCCCCTCCTGGTCCCGCAGGTCCCTGCCCCGCGTACACACCCGGGTCCGCCCGCAGCGGCCTCAGGACGCCCTGCAGGAGGAGCCCCAGCAGGAGCGGGRTCGCCGTCGCAGCGCCCATGCCTGGAGCCCGGCCAGCCCTAGAAGCCGGGAAGGGCCCAGCGTGGAAGGCCCGGCAGCCGCCGCCCCGTCGCCGCCATCTTGTCAAGCGAACTCGCGCAGCTATGGCAACCGCCAATGGGCCGCGGCCCGGCGAGAGGCGTGCTGTGATTGGCTCACTGGCAAGAAGGCCCGCCCCGGMCCTGGGGCGCACCCCGGCCCCGCCCGTCAGGCCTGGTGCTTTTTCTGCGGCTCCGTTCTGTGTGTAGAAGGGAAACGGAGGCCACGGTGGCCAAAGAGCTGAGTAGAAACACCTACTAATTACGGTGCTTCTCCAGCAGAACTATGTCAAGTGGCAAAGGTGGCTTGACTCAAGTGGCGGATGAAGGCAGTCGTAGTTGTTAACTGTATTTTGTTGCAGAGGCAGAGTTTGTGTAATGACATTTGTTTTGTTGATTATTTTTGCTATATGTCCATTCACGTTGTGAATACTTGTAGATTGAGATTTTTATGAGACAAGAAATTTTATATTGTTCTATATTTGTTGAAAAAATTTTTTAATTTTTTTTGGGGGGGACTGGGGATTGAACTCCGGGGCACTCGACCACTGAGCCACATCCCGAGCCCTACTTTGTATTTTATTTAGAGACAGGGTCTCACTGAGTTGCTTAGTGATTTTGGTTGATTTTGCTGAGGCTGGTTTTGAACCTACAATCCTCCTGCCTCAGCCTCCCCAGCCGCTGGGATCACAGGCWTGTGTCACCAGGCCTGCTTTTTWAATCTTAAATATTTTGGAGTTTCCAGGCCTCTGTTTTGAATTTATCATTTTATTCCAMTGTGGTCTAACAATATACCTTCTATAACTTTTTTTTCTCAAATTGAGTTTTATTTTTATARTCTTAAAACCAAGACATTGTCATAGAGCTTCTGTTGTGTAAACGTGTTAAAATTCTCTTTTGTGGCACAGATTGTTCTCTTTTGGAGGCTGCTCTGGGTGAATGTATTAAGAATGTTTTTCTTTGCTCCTTCTTCTTGGATGAAGCAGTCTACAATCTCAAATATACTTAGTTGATAGATGCTGCTGTTCAATTCAATCATGTTCTTACCGATTATCTGCCTCCCGAATCTACACATTTCCAGTAGAGGGGTCTTGAAGTCTCCACCTTGAACCAGAGATTCATCTACTTCTCCTCTGCAGTTGTGGGAGTTTTCCTTATGCATTTTGACTCTTATTCTGTGTACATGCGTTTTATTATTTTGCCAAGCTTTATCCCTGATAATAGGGGGATCATGGAAACCTCTAATTTTTTATCCACACAAATGAAACCATGGGGCACCTGGGACCTGATGGCTATGACTGGCATGAGGAGTAAGGTGTGCTGTAGGACTCCATCATATCATCTGTGAATGTGCTGCTAGCACCAGGCAGTTTGTGTGAGAACTGAATTGTGCTGTAGGACATTGCATTGGTGATAGASACACACAGGGATGCTGGAAAAAGGACTGCACACTTGGTGTCAATACAAATGCCTTCCCATTTGTTTGCTGGTTGGTTTCCAGTTAGAATGAAGTTGGTTGTGTCCATGTCCAGTTGAAAACCTGGGAGTTCCCCTTCGCCCTGCAGTTAATGCCAACTCCACTGCAAGAGTGAGCCTACAGGCCCTGGCTTCTAAACAAAGAGGGGAGGTTTGCACCTTAATAAACTCAATTTTATGGGGATTTGGGGGAAATGGACCTAAAAGGGGATAAGGCTGCAGTACTGTAATTGCAGAGAATTGTTATTATTGTTTTCCCTGTTTTGTTTTGGTACTGAGTATGGAACCTCAGGGCACTTGAAGCCACATCCCCAGCCCTGTGGTTTTTGAAACAGGGTCTCTTGCTATGTTCTTGAAGCTGCCTTTGAACTTGCAATCCTCCTGAGTCACTAGCCACCACTCCTGGACTTTCTCCAAGTTCTTGGAAGTTTTTTTCCCACCACACAATTCTCAGCACTCCCGAAGGAAATAAAAAAAAAAAAAAAAAACCACATGTAAATAAGGTGTGGCCCAGGAGTGGAGCAAGTACAGAAGCGTTGTAGCATTGGCATAAAAATTTCCCCTGTATCTTGGTTCCTCTCTGGGAAACTGCAAAGTGTTTACATCTCTTGGTGTTTACATCTCTCAGTATCTTGGAAGAAAGCCCAGGGGAAAATTACTAAGAAGAAAGCTGTCAAAGACAAACATTTGCTTTTTTTCATCATCTGTCTTTGGGAAACGAATCTACAAATTAAGTAGGCATGGCCACACCTSAAAGTCTGGGTGGTAAAGCCTCCACCTGAAAGAAGACATTCCTGTAAGCAACTGTGCTCTGTCCTGTCGTCCTCTCCACGTGATATGTTCACTATAAAGAATACAGAGGGCTGAGGCTGGGGCTGAGCGGTAGAGCACTTGCCTAGCACATGTGAGGTGCTGGGTTCGATCCTTAGCACCACATAAAAACAAATAGATAAAATAAAGGTGCTGTGTCCAACTACAAATGAAAAAAAAAAAAAAAGAATACACCGAAAACAGACTGTGGTGGAACATGCCTGTATCCCGGCTGCTTGGGAGGCTGAGGCAGGAAAATCTGTTGCAGGGCCCGACTGTGGACCTGCATGGAAGAATGCTTACCTTGCTCACTGTGCAGCAGGGAAGCCCTAACATAGAACACAGGAAGTTTTGGAACAGACTGCTGTCAGAACACTGGCAAGTGCCATTTCCTTGCTCCTTTGACAAGAAGTTATTCCCCTGTTGGCACAAGGTCAGCATACGTGGCAGTTTCTAGACTCTTGGTGTCTGGACACCTGTAACATGATATGTTGTGTATCACCTCTGGCCTATCATGACTGTTATATGTAAATTGACACATACCCACTATAAAAGCTATTTTTGCTGTGCAATAAAGCAGACCCTATTCTCTGAAACCATCTCCGAAGGGGTTTTTCCACACCTTCAAGCTCCCCACAATTGATGYTGGAAGGGCAGGCCYCTCAGTAAGGATCACTTGAGCCCAGGAGTTGAAGTTCAGCCTGGACAATGTAGTGAGACCCTGTCTCAAAAAAAGGAGGGTAGGGGAGAAGGAAGAAAAGAATATATACAAAAATAAAAAGGCTGATGGCTCTAGGTTTATGAACCAGTCTCTCAGCTTCTCAAGGCTGTCAATGTTTGACTCATGGGAAACTGACCCTAGCCTAGCAGGTTGCTCTTGGACCTGGTAAGTGTTCATATCAGAGCAGGGGCTTTGCTCAGRCATCCTGACTTAAGGCTGTATGGGAGGTGCTCCAGCAACTTGGCTCCAAAGGAGACCCACCCAGGGACAAAAAAAACAAACCCAAAGTACTGACCCATGCCCCAGTGTGGATGAACCCTGAGAGCATACAAGTGAAAGCCAGATGCGAAAAGCCACGCAGTGCAGGACTCCATCCATATGGGAGTGTCCAGAACAGGAAATCCACAGAGACAGGAAGTACATTAGTGGCTGCCAGGAACTAGAATCAGGATTTCTTCTTGGGGTGATAGAAATGTTTTGGAATAAGAGAGTGGCAGTGGCTGAACAAATCTGTGAATATATTAAAAATCACTGAATTGTACTTTTTTTTTAATGCTTTATCCCTGAACCACATCCCAGGGTCTCACTAAGTTGCTTAGGGCCTTGCTAAGTTGCTGGGGCTGAGCCCAAACTTGTGATGCTCCTGCCTCAGCCTCCKGAGTATCTGGGATYACAGGTGTGTCACTGCATCCGGCTGAATTAAACATCTTTAAATAGTTTGTTATATGAATATATTTCAACTAAACCTTAGCAAGAGGAACCTACTAGGCTGCTAGTGCAGTTCCTCATCTGAAYACAGGATGACACCACCTTTTCTGGTTGAGATTCACAAGAGATGTGTTGGAAAGTGCTTTTAACTCAAGGCCACAAATGAAATAAGGATTCCATAAATTTTGGCAATTATTCATTGMGATTATTCATGATGAAAGTGGATTTTCTATTTTTCCTTCTACTTTGTGAATGTCATGATTTTTTTCAGAAAGTATTTAATCATTTTCTATTGTAATTAGAAAAAAAAGTAATAAAAGTATGCCTCACGTCCTGATTTTAGTCACACTGGGCTATTTAGACAGTACTGAAATGAACCATGAAATTCTAGGGTAGTAGTCAAAGGAAGTTATAAGAGGAAAAGCAACTGGTATTTCTRAGTGCAATGGCATTATTAAAAATTGGTACCAGAGAATCGTCTTAAAATTCTCATTTCTCTTAATATAAAATGTAGGCCCCAAATTTCAATTCAGTTTTCCATGCACAGMCTGATTTTTACACCATATTTGTTACACCAAAGTGTTTTGGTGCTAAAAACATTCCCTGCACATTCTCAGAATTACTAGCACTCTAGTAAAACCCTTTGGATAATTTGAAGTAAATAAACTAAATTAAAAAAAAAAAAAAAAGCCAGGCATGGTGGTGCATTTCTGCAATCCCAGGCTCTTGGGAGGCTGAGGCAGGAAGATCTCAAGTTTGAGGCCAGCTTGGGGAAACTTAGTGAGACCCTCAGGAACTCAGTGAGGCCCTGTCTCAAAATAATAATAATAATAAAAAGGGCTGGGATGTGGCTCAGCAGTTAAGCACCCCTGGGTTCAATCCTCAGTACCACAAATCATCATCATCATCATCATCATGTAATAATATATAATAGTTATAATATAAAGCCTAAAAGGGTGCCTTCAAAACAGCGGGTTGAAGAGTCACATTCATTCTTCCGTTTACTCTGCAAAACAGTAACTGCATGGCATTTAAATATTTTTTTTTTTAAGATTTTATTTATTTATTTATTTATTTAGTTCTCAGCAGACACAACATCTTTGTTGGTATGTGGTGCTGAGGATCGAACCCGGGCCGCACGCATGCCAGGCGAGCGCGCTACCGCTTGAGCCACATCCCCAGGCCCGCATTTAAATATTATAGTACCATAAACTGACCCACTTTTCTGTTATCAAAACATATATGACACTTCCAACCAGCCTTCTTAAGCCAAAGAAAATATCAAGCAAGTGAAATTTTGCTGACCTTGCTCCCAGTGTAAAATACAAACATCAAATCTCTCTTCTAATACTTTCTTAGGAATTGTATATTAAACCCTTCACACCAACTTTTTATTGTATGGTACTTATAACAATATATTCATGTATAATTTTGGCAAGATTTGAAATTAAATTTCTTCAGTTGAATAAACATTTGTCTGACATTTAATGAAATCCATTTATAAAGTACATGTTTGAGGAAATGTTGAAGGAACATGAGATAAATATGATTAAGAGGAAATAATCCAACCAAGTATGAACATTTAAGTTATTTTGTACAAATTTACACAAAATGTATCATAAACACACAAAAACCAGAACTAAGTAAGTATATAAAACAGTTCAAAAACAAAAAAATAGTGAGAAAACCTTGCTAGTTTGTTTGAAACTTTGTCTTTTATAATTTTTTCCCCCCTTAGTAACAGGGATTGAACTCAGGGGTACTCGACCACTGAGCCACATCCCCAGCCTTAATTTGTATTTTATTTAGCRACAGGGTCTCACTGAGTTGGTTAGGGCCACTAAGTTGCCGAAGCTGGCTTTGAACTCGTGATTCTTCTATGATAGCCTCCCAAGCTGCTGGATTATAGGTGTGCACTACTGTGCCCAGCTGAAAYTATTCATCTTTTAGATTAAATGCTTTACCTCCTATACTTAAAATAGTGATTTCCATAGTAATTTGTTTTGAGGTTGCAGATGGACAGCATGTCTTTATTTTTTATTATTATTAATTTATTTTTTTGTAGTTGTAGGGGGATAGAACGCCTTTGTTTATTATTTTTAAGTGGTGCTAAGGATGGAACACAGTGTTTCATACATGCTAGGCAAGTGTTCTACCACTGAGCAACAGCCTTTGCCCTGAAATAGTAATGTTTTTGAAAGACAAACCACTTCTCAAATGCAAGGATTAATAAATACTTGCAAAGCGATTCCCTAAATCATTGTGTATTTGTTAATGAATACAAATCCAGAACACAATCTGAAATTATCTAAGAAAATTATTTAAATAAGACTCAATTTCTGAGATAGTCAAAGAGAAAATTTAAATCTTATTTATATACAAAGTTTTGTACACAAGTGGGTTTTTGTTGATATGCTTTGAAAAAAACGAATCCTATCGCCATTCCTGTGCTGGACCCTGAATGATTTCAAGGAAAATCACTGAATAGAAATAGTTAAAGCAATATTTCAAGGAAAACCAATATATAGAAAAATAAAGTAATTGCTAAAATTACAAATCATGTTTGTTTTGAACTYATGGAAGTTTTCATTATTTAGTTCACAGCCTCTAGAGAAGAGCTCCTCAATATTAACCTTTCTGCTCATTAACAATGACAGATTTTTATCTGCAGACAAGTAACAGAATCCATTTTCCCTGACAAATCCCCCTCAGATCATAGACATCTGCTTCCACAAGTAAGTTCTTCACACGTCCGCTCATGAAGAAAAATTTTCCACATCTAGTACACCTGCTTTCCTCCTTCACCTGAAATCAGATTCTGAGTTACTCAGTGACAAACTTATTATTGGATAACTCTGTCCAAACGTACTGATAACAGATGAAAGAATAAACATAGGGCTGGGGCTGGGGCTGGGACTTAGCAGTAGAGCGCTCGCCTAGCATGTGAGAGGTCCTGGGTTCGATCCTCAGCACCACATAAAATTAATTTTATTAAATAAAGGTATTGTGTCCATCTACACTAAAAAATATAAATATTTAAAAAAGAATAAATGTGATAATATCTGAAGCCAAATCTCAATTGACAATAAGGATTTGTTTACATTTGACCACCGTGGGAGGCAGCTATGAAAGATGCTTTATCTTGATTGATGATTCCATAAATAGCTACTTTTTCCAAAGCTGTTAAATTTCACATGCCATGCATTTCAAAGTGAGGACCTGTAAGTTTAAAAGCCTGACTTTGATAAGTGAACATCCCATAAAAAGAAAGTCAGAGATCTCTGTTTTATTCCCCCTTTCTGGACAAAACACAGAAGACCTGAGGCTGTACTACACAGGATGACCCCTCACACGCCAGTCCCAGAAGCACAGGCTGAGGATGACATGTAGGGAATATTTCTTGTAAGAAACTCACTATATAAATACCTACCCTATTCATATCTGTATTTATCTCAGAGCGTCGCAGCAAAAATTCTGCCACACAATTTCTATTAATAGCCTTAAAAGTTGCAAATTTTTCTGCCTGTACTGGGGATTGAACCCAGGGACTCTACCAATACCTTCCTAGCCCTTTGATTATTTTTCATTTTGAGTCAGGGTCTCACTAAGTTGACCAGGCTGTCCTCAAATTTGCAATCCTCCTGCCTTGGCCACCACAGTCCCTGGGATTACAGGGGCATGCCACCCACCACACCTGGTAGAAAATGTTTTCTTATCATGTGGACACTTTCAATTTCTTTTTCTTGGCCTTCAGTACAGGAGGAAGAGAAATCTTAAAGGCTGTCCTGAAATGAGAGAGAGAGAAGACTTTAAATGCTCTCAACCTCTAAACTTGAGCCACACACATAACCTCAAAGATACTTACTCACACGTGGTACAGATAGGGCTGAAATTGCAGAATACTGTAAATAAAAAAATAAAAACAGAATGGTTTAAAAACTACATAGTTGGGATCTTTTCTGCCCTTCCAACATATAAAAAAGAAAGAAAGAAAGAAATGAGGCCCATGAACTTACTTGACAAACACACTGAGCAGACATAGCCGATTTCAATGAGATTCCGATGACAGAAGCAGGCAGCCCTGTAGTCAACATGAACTGGGGGCGGGAGGATTAACTGAGATCTCTGATCTTGATCAGGAAGAAAAACCCACTGTTTAAAAAAGAAAGAAAAAAGAAACTTTTACTTAGAATATTTGGAAAAAATAACCAGGAGTCAGAATACATAACAGGTACCAGCCAGCCAACATTAAGGAGGATGCTAAGCCAAGCCTTTCCTTAAAAGTCTACTGACAAATGCATTTTTATTCACTCAGCCCACAATGAACAGCTCCAGCCACAGGCACTGTTTTATAAATTTGGCCACATGAGACACTGCACAGGCATTACAGGGTCTGAGGACCACCAGACTCCAGCCTTCCAAGCTCGGAAACCCAAAGCCACCTGCTTACTCCTCCCCTTGAGTCACTGTCCCTGCTCCCAACCATCTGGGTGACCCACGTGGCAGGCGCTGCTGCAATCTCCTTACCAGTAGATACTGCACAAGGGACGGCATCTGAGGCACTTTCAGGTACAGTCCTCCTGTGATGTCACAAGCCTGCAAGACACACAAAGGGCTCTGCCAATCTAGCACTTCTGGGCCTTTCCAGGGGGACGGAATTCCCACCAGTGACTCTCCAGGCCTACAAAAGGTCCAGCTGGTGCATGAAGTTCATTGACTCATCTAACAACTGTTTTCAAGCACTACCACATGCCACGTCCCTGGCTCAGGGACTATGGCAGTAAACAAGACGAACAGTGTCATCCTCAGGAACTGGTGCCTTAGTGCTTTCAAAAGATTAGGAATAGGGCTGGGGCTGGGACTAAGCAGTGGAGCGCTTGCCTAGCATGCATGAGGCACTGGGTTCAATCCTCAGCACCACATAAAAATAAAATAAAGGTATTGTGTCCACCTACCAAAAAAAAAAATATATATATATATATATATATAATTTAAAAAAAGATCAGGAGTAAATGAGACCAGGCAGGATGGCATGCCAGTAACCTCAGCAACTCAGGAGGATGAGGCAGGAGGATCACAAGCTCAAGGCCASCCTCAGCAACTTATTGAGATTTTGTCTCAAAATAAAAATTTTAAAAGGGGGATCAGCTGGGGCTGTAGCTCAGGGGTAGAGTGCCCCTGAATCAAACCCCAGTACCCAGCCCCCCAAAAGAGAGCGAATTGAGTTAGTAAATACAAGAATAACTTTACAGCTTTATGATCATTTCTATGAAGAAAAATGAAATAGGGTAGTTACAGAAGGCTTCCTAGGAGGCGACAGAGGCAGGGATCGAGTATAGGCAGAGAGCAGGCCACTCAAGCACGGAGGAACAGGGACCGTGTGGTGCAGTGAGTCYGGAGCTGCTGGGTTTTCGGGCAACAGCCAGGAGGCTGGGGGGTGGGACTCAGGTCTGCAGGCTCTCAGCAGGCAAGACCTGGACCCTGGCAAAGGACCCAGGTAGAATCCTGTGTGATTTGACACCAGGGCAGGGTTTTTAGGAAGCAAGTTACATCATCTTATTTACATTTTGAAAGCTCCATTCTTTTTTTTCCTGTGTACTAGGTACAGGAGCTGAACGCAGGGACACTCGACCACTGGACCACATCCCCAGCCCTGTTTTGYATTTAATTATAGAGACAGGGTCTCACTGAGTTGYTTAGTGCCTCACTAAGTTGCTGAGGCTGGCTTTGAACTTGTGATCCTCCTGCCTCGGCCTCCTGAGCTGCTGGGATTACAGTTGTGGGCCACCRTGCCCAGCGAAASCTCCACTCTTACTGCTATAGTGAGAACCAACTTTGGCAGGAGAGGGTAMGCCTCAAAGCTATTGTAGTCACCTACTGAAGGGAGGGACTCGGGATGTATTTAAAAAGAATCTAAAGGATTTACCAGGAGATATAAAAGGAGAGGCAGAGGAGACAAGTAAGAGCTGGCTGGGGCTTGACCGCTCAGTGACATTGCCTCTTGCTGAGATGGGCTGCCACTGGGGCAAGAAAAGGCTGTGTAAAAAAAGCTCTCCCGTGGGGACCTAAGTTTAAGTGACATCCGGATGTCCAAGAGGATATTCTATGAACACGAATGAATATGTAAGCCTGGAGCCCAGAGGAGCAGCTGGGCCTGGAGCAGGGACACAAAGGCAAGAGATGGGGCCAGAACTCGTTTTCAGTCATGGCAGAAGCAAGATCTTGGAGCTGACACCGTGTAGACTGAAATGTGCAACTAAAAAATGCAATCAATCTTTCTGATATTTAAATATTGAAATAAAGTCGTGTGTGCAAGATTACATATACATAAGTGGCTTAAATAACAAATGAAGGTATGCCAAGTACCCTCATCTGATCATTACATTATATACCTATATAAAAATGTCACATTGTATGAACTCCATAAATATGCACATATACTATGTATCAAGTAAAAATAAAAACACGCCTGTAATTCCAGAGGCTTGGGAGGCTGAGATAGGAGGACAGCAAGTTCCAAGCCAGCCTCAACAACTTAGTGAGGCCCTCAGTAACTTAGCGAGAACCTGTCCCAAAACAAAAAATGAAAAGGGCTAATGATGTGGCTCAGTGGTTAAGCATCCCTGGGTTCAATCCCCAGTACAAAATAAGTTTAAAAGTCATTCTTTTAGTAGCATTTAATTTAACATAGCCACAGTATTATCATTTTAACACTACTCAAAGTTACTCTTTGTAATTATCAACATCAAGAATTGTTTTAAAACATACCTGTTGGAGAAGTCCTGAATCGGAGTCTAAAACGCAGGCATCGATCAGAATATTCTGAAAGGGATTTTTTGAAAATATTACAGAAACAATACCAATAATGACTCTTTTATGCATATCACTTTTTCTTTTTTTTGGTACTGGGGATCAAACCYAGGGGCACTTTACCACTGAGCTACATCTCCAGCCTCTTTTTAATTTTTTTATGTTGAAATAGGATCTCGATAAATTGCTCAGGCTGGTCTTGAACTTGTGATCCTCAGCCTTCCAAGTTGCTGGGATTATAGGTGTGTACCACTGCAACTGGCCTATCTTTAAAAAAAAAAAAAAATATATATATATATATATATGCTTTAGTTGTAGTTGGACACAATACCTTTATTTTATTTTTATGTGATGCTGAGGATCAAACCCAGTGCCCTGCACGTGCTAGGCAAGCGCTCTACTGCTGAGCCACAACCCCAGCCCTGGCCTATCTTTTTTAAACCTGTCAAAGAAAAATATATTAGTTATATTCATCTGAGCATCTTTACTGTTTTTAAACTCAAAATATTGAATCTTTAAATGCCTCACTAAAGAGAGAAAAACATAGGCAAGGTTTATGCAGAAAACTGCCAAATCCCAGTCAGGCACAACACTCAGAACTGTAAGACAGCTACTTGGGAGGCTGAGGCAGGAGGATCGGAAGTCCCAGGCCAGCCCGGGCAACATAGCAAAACCCTRTCTCAAAATTTAAAAATGTTTAAAAAGGGCTAGGGACGTAGCTTAGTGGTAGAGTACCTGTGCTGAATCTCTATGACCGCAAAATAAAAAGTAAAAACAAAAAAAAAMGGAAAGGAAAGGAAACTGTAAACCAGGGATTGTTGGCTGGGGGCCAAGGATGGACTAAAGATTCCCTGAAAACRATGACACTGCATGAAAATCCACAGGAGGGCACAGTATTCTGGGGACCCAACTCATTCTCAGGGGTTCTAGGACATAAAACAGATGTGACTGGTTTCCAGCAAAGATCCTGGATTCCTGATCCATTAATAAGACTCTTCACACAGAATGCCCCAAGAAGGTCATTCAAATGACAGAGTCCTTCAATGTGAAACAAATGTCCTTGAAGAGGAAAGCTCTCAACTCACCTGTTTCTGTGCTGCGAAGATGACATTCATGAAGTTCATGTACTGCAGTGCGCTGTCTTCTGCAGCCTTAATAACCTAAAAACCAAGGCCCCGTTAATATCTCTCAGAGTGTCCCTGGACTCCCACTTAAAAGTCACAACCAATACTGTTTTCCCGATTTGTCTTCCTATTTCCATTTTTAAATACTAAAGTAAAAGATGGCAGCAGACTTGCCCCTAACCCTTCCCCCTGAGACGACCCTTGTGACAGTTTGAGCATGCTCCCAGAGAGCACCCCTGCAGACCAACACAGCGCACAGAGGGGCTCCACTGGTGTCCTACACCTGACTATCAGTCCATGATACATGGAGGGAAGAGATCTTCTTACATCAATGAAATAAAACAGCTGTGTGTCACTTAACGAYGGGGATAAGTTCCTAGGAATGAGTCACTGGGTAATTCTGCTGTTTGAACATTGTAAAGTGAACTTTTCATACATCTAGATGGTACCCATCTACCATATGGCAACAGGGTCTATACCTTGTATATGCAGTCCACACTGACAAAACACCACCATGCAGAGCATGAGTACATATGGTACTTCTTGCTGACTTCTCAGATTTCTAGTATTTAACCAATTATCTGCAGAGGACATTTAAGCAGTTTCCAATTCTCTCTTAAACGATGTTCAGATGGCACCCTCACGTACCCTTTGCTCAGCTCCCTGATTGCCTCCAGAAGACTGCTAGTGTATGCACTGATTTTTTTCCCCTTCAGTACTGGGAACTGAAC